GGACTCAAAACGCTGGGTTACAGACCTGCCCAAAAAGCCTGGTCCTGCAGGCTGCTGCTTGAAAGAAAAAGTGCTGAAGGAGTCAGATGTTCCTTGGATGGGAACTGGCTTATTTACAGCAAATTATCCCTCGGCCACACCAGCACCCTCCTCACAAAGTTCTGTCACTTCTTTTATAGCTGCCTTTCCAGTGCATCTGTAACATGTAATTGGCACATCCAGGCGTTCCTCTGTCCAGTCCTTGGGTGCACTTTCATGTGTTGTTTTGTTTAGAACGATGCCCAACAAGCAATATCCAGCAAAACTCATCTGCTGGTGCTATTCTATCACGGGATGTGTGCTCTGGGTCAATGCACCTAGTTGTGTTGGGAAGAAAAAATCTGAACCTTTTTTTTTTTTTTTTAATGGCAAATGACTAACTGTCAGCCCTCACCTACATCAGTAAAGCTTCACCCAGTATGCAATAAATCAGCCACACTAGCAGATCATTTTCTGTAATTTTTGCTGTAATATATCTAACATAATGCCACAGGCTGTGTGCCTTAATTTGTGTGTATGTTTGTGCCCTGAGCATTTTGCTTTAGCACATAGTACTTACATTCCCAAGAACGCTGTGTCACACTGGAGTGCAATGTCCTGGTATTGCTGAGCTGCACTGACTGTGGTCACGGTAATATTTACGTCCTGTGCCTGTCAGTGTGTTAAGGAATGAAGCTAAATAAACTTTGCAAAGCTGACAAACCCACTCTGATTATTTTTGCACCATCCTTTTCATTTGTGTAACAAGTTGCCACGTTTGCATTTGGAACAGCTTGTGCTGCAAGATGAGGGATCTCCTGTTATCGAGATTTCCACTGCCCTTCCTGACATTTAAAAATGGGTACTTCTTCAAAGAGGTACTTGATGTTTCACCTTTTAAATTTTCAAGATCTAACTGGGAGATACAGAGCCTCCTCTTCTCCTGGACTGGAAGCCAGAAGTCTGCATGGGCTAAGAGCAAATGGTCAGCCCAGGAGTGGTGGAGTAAAGACCTCCTGGTTTCTGTAGCTCTTAGTAGATCCTCTGGTGCTGATTAACATGCACGTGCCAGATGAAATGGGGGGGTTGGGAGAGGCATGCATGCAGGATACCTGTTCCTTGCGTGGCTTCTTTGAATGAGGAGATGTCACATGGTGGCCTTCCCTGCACTGGGAAAATGAACAAAGGCCCTGTCCTCGTCCCCTGTCTATTCCAAAGAAACATGTGAGACCTTAGATCTTTGCAACTGTGACCACACTATCAAAGCTGCTTAAAGTTGGCTGAGGGGTTCAAATGTTCGTGGTGAAGTAGGGAAGGAAGGAAGGGGAGAGGAACCACACAACTGCTGCTTCTGCCCCACACACACACATGTTTTGCAAATGAGCAATCAAAGGGCTCCTGGATGAGAGCGTGACCATGCCAGGAGGGCTCTCAAGCCCTGTGGTTAGAGCAGTCCCCCAAGGAAACGGAGTCTTCCAGGGGTGGCTGCTGTGTGTACAGCAGGCGAGCTGCTCCCAGGTGGATCTCCCAGACTGGCCCCAGTGCACCTCTCCCATTGCCCATCGCCATCACCTCTTCTCTGCAAAGGCTCAGTAAAAGGTGACAAATGGCTCAGAGCCTTGTGTCCCTTCTGGGGTGGCAGGGGGAGAAGAGCCACTGCTGCACACAAGACACCTCTGTCATACCTGGGTCTGCTTCAAATTCAATGTTCACCTCGTGTTTCTCAGGGGGGTGTCAAGGCCTTAAGCAGGTTGTGTGCTCAGGGGAGTGTTATCCTGGGAGGATTTCACCTGTGCACCTATCTGAACACTAAGTAAATCATTTTAACATGCTTTAGCCTGTTATTTTTGATACTGCCCTCCAAACACTGCTCTACTCTGGCTTTGTACAGCGACAACCAAGGAAAAAAATTACTATTTTTTTCCCATTTCACTGTTAGCTTGTTTTTAATCCTCATAGACTGTCAGTGTTAACTTTCACACTGAGTCATAATTGTGTACTTACCACTTTACATCTTGGGACAGGGAAGCCTCTCAGGTTTTTTTTCCTGTACTATTTTAGTCTTGATGCTAAATATTCTGATCCTGAATCAACAAAAGAAACATATGCTAAGATAAAGGAAAAACTAGGTAACTCATTTTATATAAGCTCTCTTATTTTCTGTATGTGCCACATAAAAGCTAAATAAATATGTCTATAAATATGAGCAATAAATGCTCACCCTAAAGTCAGTAAGTTTCATACTGAAGGCAATTGGATGGAGAAACATTATCTCAGTATGCTGAAGAGCTTGGATGGATCAGGGACAGGGCGCTCAGTACCTTGAGGGATCACATTGCTGAAGAGTCTGGGTGACAATTTCAAAGCTCTTTCCCACGGATTCCTCCTAAAATGCATGGAAACTGGGATTCTAGTTCTTCACACTAATATTGAGGGTTGTGCCCTACATCTGCCTTTTGATTTCTTCAGCGACTGTTTCCAGCAATAATTTTGATGAAATTAATTGTTTTGTTTTAATCAAGATTAGAAACATATATTTTTATACCGAGAACTATTTTGATTTTGTTAAATCACATTCTCTTCTTAGCTGAAATACAGACTCACTCACAGAAAATTAAACGGAATAAATAAGAAAGAGCAATCTAATGCGAATAGCCAGCAGGAGGAAATACTGGTTCACATAACATACTGTTAACCTGTAGAAACCATTGCCATAGGATGGAGTCAAACCCAAAACCATGGCAAACCTCAAAGCACAGATTGAAGTGTATTTCTGAATGATTCTGAAAGGACTTTAGAAAGGCCATAAAACTCCCTGTTTCAAGATTAAGCCAAAAATTAATTATTAGGGGTAAACAGAAGAAAACAAGGGGAGGGACAGATTCTCTCCCATCCATAGTCCCTCCAACCTTTTTCCGCAGCATCCACGGCTAGAGACAGTAAAAGCCAGAACACAGTCGGACAGACTAGGCACAGAACTGGCAATGGTATATTGGCATATTTATCTTCCCCTGTAAAAATAAAAATTAAGAAATGCTTGCAGAATTTATCTTTCAAGGTCTTTGTACCTTCCTAGTCCTTTTTCAATTCAGAAAAAAAAAAGTTTATTGACACAAGGAAAGCTGTAAACTCTGCAGCCATAACTTACAGCCAGGTTTGAGGGGGCTTCAGCTTCCCCACTGCTTTCATTGTTAATGTCTCAATCTCATACTAGAAATGTAGTGCAAATGAAAAACTGACACGTTCCCCAAAATGACATTTAAAAATGAGAAAAAAATTATACTGTTATTTGTAAGCATTATTTTCTATATTGACGGTGAAAAATTATTCTGAAAAGCTTTTTATTAGACTTTGAAAATCAAAATAACAACCCTAGCTGTCTGTAAGACACACTTCCTGTGAAGGCAGGCACCTTACAGGTCCCAAGCACTCAATTTTAAAAATATATTGAGAAGACAGAATTTTTATTTGTATTGTCATATTGCCTGGACTTCACAATTTAGGACCGTGTCTTCATTTCCTTTTGCTGTGCAAACACGCGTGACAATATTTTGAAAATGTCTGTCTCTAGAAGACTACTGAGGAAGCCTCGCAGACAGAGAAAAACACAGAGGGAACAATTGCAAAGATTTATTTAGCGCATTCTGTGCTTGGCACTTAGAAACAGAGTTCCGTGCATAGGGCAAATCTTTATACACCTTTTTCTTCATACATATTTTACATACCATTTTTATTGCCCTCTTTTATATTCATAATATTGAATCCTCCACTAGGCATATAAATACATTTATCTACAACACCTCACAACAAATCTCAATAATATCTGTATTCTGTTACTTGGTATTTGCATTTTCACACAACTTAAATGCATAGCTTGCACCAAGCTACAATTGTTTTCTTATTTTTAAAGGATTTGAAGAAAAAAAAAAAAAAAAGAGAAGAAAAAAACAGAAAAGATGTCAAAAGGTCAAAAGGCGATGATCTATTTGGTTAAACAGAGATCACATGGCAAGCAGGAGGTTGGTGAATACTCGACCTCACTGTTACTGAAATGCTAATCGTTTTCTACGGCAACTCTTGCATGCAAGGTGAGGGAGGCCGGCTGCACTTCTGTAGAGCAGAGCTCTTTTCTCATTGCTCTTCCCCGTGAGGTCAGTCTGGACAGTTTCCTCCCATTGGGTTGAGTGCTATGAGACACATGTTCCCCACAAAGGCTGTCATCCGTTGGGTTTGGGTGCATCACTTCAGGTCACGTCAACAGGAGCTGAGCGCCTTTCCGAAGATCAGTCCCTGCTTATGTCTGAGGCTCACTTGTGGGTTAAACCCTTTTCTCTCTCCTCTCTCTCTCCCATCTCCATCTGCAGGTTGGGTGCTGGTAAGCTCAAACCTCGCAAAGAAGCCACTGGTCGGGCAGCGCCGTGGTGAAAATGCAGAAACCTCCTGGGAGGAGAAGCTCCAGCCCAGCAGCGCCATTCCTGTGCTACAGTGGGAGAAGGACCCAGGGGCCACTGTTGGCTTCAGAAGCGGGCTGAGCCACTCCAGCAGTGAGGAACGGTCCGGGAAGGGGGAGGTCTTTAAAGCTATGGGCAGTGCAGCTTCAGAGGATGAAGCCTTGGTAGACTGCCTTTCTTCAACACCCGGAGGAGATAGCACAGGGGCACGGCTCCCTCCACGCCGAGAGCTCACACTAGCTGAGAGTTAATGCATAAACAGTATATTCAGCTGCTTCTCTCCAGCTTCTCGTTAAAGTCATGCCCTTCTCTCTGCAATGTCCAGAAAGAGCAGGTGCTGTGTGCCAGGTCTGGAGGTCCTCGGCTACAGCAAGCTGCGATGGCTGTCAGTTGAGGCTTTCCACAGGGTTCTGTGGCGCATACCTAGATGGTTTGTGTTCTTATTTATCATTACAATACTAGTTCCACTATAAGTTTGAAGGCAAAAATGTACTGGGATGGGTTTACCCCTGGAAAGGACGAAGGTCCAGCTGCCTTCGAGGCCAAGGAGAGGCATGGCTTGTTAGACCATGTGCACAGACATCTGTGAGGAGGAGCCCTGAACCGCACCGTACTGTCTGTTGTCACAGGCGTTGGCCGTCTGCTGGTTGCTGGAGGGAGGGCTGATCATGTGCATCCCATGATCCATCCCCGCAGAAAGGTATTGCCTCTCTCCGAAGGCCCCGCTAGATGGGGAAGAGCAGAGTAAAGTGCTTTGGGAGGTGGTGAGTTTCTCCGGGCTTGCTGCCAGCCTGGGGGAAGCAGGGAAATTGTATCCATAGAGGTTGTAGGGATTGTGCAGGGAGAAGGCATTGTAGGAGCTCTGCTGCATGTGGCCACCACCGAACATGTGTGAAGAGGAGGAGGTGGAGGCAGGGTTGCCTGCTTGCATGACATACTGAAACTGAGAGCTGGGGAAGGATCCCAGCTGGCCGCTGTATGCCTCCATCTTGCTGTTGCTGGGCAGGGAGGAAGGAGTCAAGGATGGATTCCTCTGAGGCATGAAGGTTTCGGAGGGCTGCGAGGCAGAAGCAGTGCTGCTCTGCAGTCGGTTGTAGCCGCCGTCACTCAGGCCTGGGTAGCTCTGCAAGGCAGCCATGTTGCTTCTGGCACACGGGGGATAATCAGACAGGTTGAGGTTGCAAAGCTGACTCTCCCGGCAGCCAACGTTGAAAGTGTTGGGGGCCAGATGAAAGGCTGGAGGGGAGCAGGACGGAGAGAGAAGGTGAGAGGAAGCAGAGGGTGACGGTGTCCCCGTGCTGGAGGTGGTCGGGGAGGTGCCTGTGCTGCCTCCTGCAAAACAAAACACATGGGAGGATGTTCAGAGCCTGGGATCACATCTGCAAAACAAGACAGTCTCATTAAAAAAAAGCTTAGTTTAATAAAGAAACAAGGGTGGTAAAATGGCCGCTGGAAAAAGCCTTTCTTGGCAAGGGCCCTCACTTTATTAATAGCATCCCTTGGTCTTTCCTGCTGCTTTTTTGTTATGACTTTGTTTTTCAACAGAGGTTTTCTTCCCTTTTAGAATAGGAGAGGGAAGCAAGCCTGCCACAGATCAATCCAAGGCAGTGGGAAAAGCTGAGAGGAAGCACTGCTCCATCAGTGAAGAAATCTGCCATTTCCAGGCATGTTTATCTAGTCCTTTTTTTGGGGGAAAAAATTAAAAAAAAATAAAAAGTTCTTTTCTCCTCTCTCCTGGTCTGCAGGAAGACCACCAGTCAGCAAGCTGCATGGCCCCACTGCAAACATGCTTTATCATCTGCTCAGGGGGCTTGCGGTGGGAAGTGGCTGAAAGTATGTTGGACTTCTGCACCATTCAACAGTTTTTTTGGATGGCTCATGGTGCAACGGTAGTGATTTAAGCCAGAAGTAACATTAAAATGAAGGGGGACAGTTTCAAGCTATAACCTGTTCCACAGAGAGGAGAAAGGGGACGTGTCAGGATTTTCAATCGTGTGCTTTAACTTTAAAAGGAATTCCATATGTTGTATCACTGGTGTTAACAAAATATTGATATATATGCATGTTGGTAGTATCAATGTATTATACAATATTTATGCTATGAATGATAGAATTGATTATTTTGCACAGCACGGATGCTCACATGTTCTGACCTGGGAAAACAACACTGCGTAATACTACCAAGAACAGTAACAAACTGAAAGTAAGTGATATGAAGAAGCTGATGACACAATTTTCAGCTTGAGAAGAGATTATTTATGGGTAAGATTCTGAGTTAGAGGAAGCTTCCTTGTTCAATGAGGAAAATCAGTTCTGTGCTTAAGGGAATGTAGTTTTCTGGTGTGAAACACTTTTTTTTTTTCATTTAAATCATTCTCTTTGCATGAGATCTCATTTCTGCATTAGGGCAACTAACACCGAAGACTTGTAAAAGGAGCCAAGAGGTGCTGGTGAAGAGATTTGAACAGGAGATAAGCAGAACCAGAAGAACTAGGAAGACAACTGGTGAGACAGCCTCTTGGACAAGCTAGAAGATGACAGGTGAGAGGCAAAGGGACTGGAAAAGAGCGTGTTAGAGTAGGCAGCTGAAATTTAACCAAGGCAGAGATTGCACATTGAGGATCAAAAGTAAGGGACATCTTTCTCTTGTGTTCCCTTGTGAGAAAAAAAAACAGCAGAATTTTGAGACCAGTCTAGGTGGTGCAAAACAGGAGAGGAACTGAATGGAGTGCTGCTTGATAAAAGAGAGTAAGTGATGCTAACAGTTAAGAGATGCGCTAGAAAGACAGGTTCTGTGTCAGTATATGATGGTGAGAATGTAAATGAGATTATATCTGACTCTTTCTAACACATCTAGGATGAAACAGAATGGGGCATTAGAATGAAAATGTAACTTTGAGACATTAACAATATTTGGGATTTTTTAACATAAATTTTTTTTGAAAAAAAGAAGACAGCCTTGGGTTAGCACAGCCTGGAGTGGCTGCTGTTGACCCAGGCAGCATCAAGAAAATGTATGTTTCTGTGTTGCTAAGTCAAAGCAGTCTTCCCCATTACCAGCCATGGGGAGGAATGCCTATTGCTCAGCCACTGACTCCTTTTGTCATTCATTCAGAAGCATAAAAGAGAAGCATTGCATCAAATCTTCATTAAAATTAACAAAAAAATTTCAAGTTTTGAATGGCATCATGGATTTTCTACATTCATTTCTTGTCAACACTGAAATGCTCAAACTTGCTAGTGCGTTTTAGCTCCAGAGTTCAAAGACTTTTTGGTGTGAATTTCTAATTTAGCGTTTACTTTAAAATGTACACTTCCCTGGTTCATTTAAAGTCTCTGACAATCTCTGGCTAATTTTCTTGTGGTAAGTTAAGAGGGTACCTCCCCCAGCCTTTCTCCCTGTCTCCCTGTTACAGGTTGTCAATACTGCAGCAGGGTCAGCAGAAGGGAACATCTGCCTCTATGCAAGTAGTTTCATTGTAAAGTCTGTTTTAGCTGAAATTGCTGATAAAGGTGAGTGAACCGAGGTACACAACTACAGACACACTTTCCTGTTAGCCCTGCACTAAAGAGGGTAACATCTGACAGAGAGGGCAGGCAGACAGCTGAGTTCATATATCATCACTTAGCTATCAAAGCCCAAAATACAGAAGTCACATAATCACAAAACAAATACAGCACAAAGTGAGATGTATTTAACCCACAGTAATCCCACACTTGATTCTTTACACCACATATTTCATGAACAAACTTCAGATGGTGACTTGCTGACAGTGTCTGGAGAATAAGTAAAAATACATATGTATATATGTATGAGCATTTAATGTTCTGTTTGAAATAAAATACGTAGAATAAATTATTAACTGCAATGTCTTCATTTCAGTCTTCCTTTACCCCATAGTTAACCTTTAAAAACTATGCATTAGAAGAGCACACACACCAGTTACCTCAAGCATTAGGCTTCGAACATCTGCTAAGGAGTTATGATCAAGTTGTACCCATAACTGAGGCTTTGGCTCCACAGAGTAAAAGTAAGCAGAGATCTCTGATTAGCAATTGTGAGGGCTGATTAATGATTCTAAAACTGAGAATTGCACATTTCAGGTTATCCCCAAAGAGAGACTGAAGTGATTCTGCTCTGAATTATCCCTGTTTGCAGGCCAACAGAAAAACGCTGAAGTGACAACAGAGCAATTAGGAAACAAAGTAAAAAAGATTTTTTTTTTTCTTTTTCTCCATAACTTTAAAAGGATGAGGACATGAGAGGTCTATCAATAGGAACAAACGCCAGAGCTGATGACTCTCTTTCAAGAATGCTGTGGTGCCAATGCCAACCATAAGCACAGGACACAACATGCTTTGGCTGCAACAGAGCGTAACGCAGAAGCCTGAAGTTCCTGATCATTTGCTGAATAATCTTTACACCTTTCAGTGGAACAGGAAACAATACAAAGCAAGGCCCATCTCGGCTCACTCTCTTCAGAAGGCAAACAGCTCCACTCTGCTCTGAACAATATTTCTTATCCATCTTTGCTGGCAGCACAAAGTATGGGCCAAGTGCAACCTGGACTTTTGTGAAGCTATAACTTGGACTGTAGTTCCTACAAAGTCAGCCAAATACCCCTAGGGATGGCAGCAAGCCCAGCAAGTATATCCACACCATGCTACAGTCTCAGATACACAGGTGTGTATGTCGTTTTAGTGGAAAGCATGGATACAAACCAATCTAGTTAAACTGATACACAAGGCTATGTTTAGGTCTGGTTTAAGTCAATTGAAACCATATTTAAGCAAGAACAAAATGAATCTCTCAATAATTCTCCTCTGTTCCTTTTCTCTACCCACTGTTCCCCCTGGAAATAGCTGCCAACACCAACAGCATTTACCAGTAATGTCACAGTATCTCTCACCTCCACACTTATGATTCCAAAGTGATTAATTACTATTGTGTCCAGTCTCCAGAAGATCATTCTGGCCCTGTGTACAGCAGCCCCACGTATGTGCAGTTAGCAAGTCACATTTGTATAAAATACAAGGATCGTAACTTCAAAGCCTCCTCCTTTGTATCCGAACCCTGCCCCGCATGGCATATGAAACTGTCTGTCCTCACAGTGTCCTGCCGTTATGTCCACAGCTTAGCCAAGCACTGGTGCCATCCTGAAAGGAGCCTGCTCTCTGTCTGGGCATACAAATGATAACTAAGTTGAACTTATCAAAGGGACAAGAGCATTTCCAAAGAGGGGGAGTGGAGAATGATCTATTGCAAGAAAGATCAAAACTTGCAAACTGGACTGAGAAGTAAACCATTGGTAAACAGGGGAGGTGGGAAAAAGAAGAATGAAATCATAGTGGAAGCAGGGAAACCCTGTGGAGAGAGCAGGATGTAAAGGCAAACCTTCTTCCTCATGCCAGTATTCCTTCTTGTGACACCATATAGAAATGCTAGCTGTGCACTAGTCTCAAATACCTGCCCACAAGGATTAGGAAAGAAACTACAGTTTCGCATCTGGATACAAATAAGAACTGCCATTAACATTTCATCTTAAGTAGCTTATGACCGGTCTTTCCTTCCTGTCACCTGTGTGCCACCTCCTTCTAAGCCTTGGTAATGGTGCTGTCTCTCTATGTGTTCCCAATAGACCTTTGCTTTTGCTCTTACCTGGACTGAGCTTGTGTTAAGGACAACGTCAGGATAAACTGCAAGCCCATACATACCCGGTCCACAGGTATGATGTGCCTTAAAACGAGGGGTTGGAGTGTTCTTGAAGCATTCAGCATGCCAGGGCACCTGAAAGGCAATGGGGACCTCTTCCACACAGGGCAGGTCATGTAGAAAACTTCTAACACTGCAGCATAGATGGAAAACACATCTGCCAGCAGCCAGCATTAGCCAAGGCAGCTTTCTGGCAACAGGGAGATAGGGGGGAGAGCATCAGTGCCAAGGGAGTCTGAAGCAACTGTGCATGGAAAATTTTCTGGGATCTCCCTTATGAATGACACCATACTAGCCAGTCGACCCACCACTTATCTCAACTTCTTTTATCTGAAAGGTCCACATAAATCGCAATTTGGACTCCACTGCAGCTCATTTTCCTTGCTAATGTTTCCAGGCATTGGTTGTCACCATCACCTGCAGTGCCTCTGTACAAACCTCTCAGTCCTTGAAGTCCTTGTTTAGCGCAGAGAAGGAAAGCAAGCAAAACTGAAGCTGCAGTCAGCCCAAGATCTCTGAACACAACTGCCATGCCCTGTGCAATGGCAGAGTCTTATCAGACAGGCAAGAGCTTTAGAGTAGTTTTGGTAACTTGATTGCTGCCATTATCTGACCACAG